TCCAAGAGCAAGAACTAGAGCTTCTAAAAGAACAATACCTCCTCCACCATCCTTTTCTATCATCATCATCTTCATCTTCGTCTTTTTGATCGTCACCGTGACCGACCTTGTCGATGATGATGAGACGGTTGAACCCTCCTTTTGTCTTCGGCAGCGGCTGCGACAATGCTTTTGTCGTGCAGGAAGGAGTTGTTCGACCCGCGAGAGGACGAGTAATGCGAAAGGGCGAAGATGGCGACTTCGGGGTTCTTATTGAGGATGTTCGACTCGAAAGGAGTCGGGGAGTGGAAATGGAGAGTAACGGCGGATTGGTCTTCGATGGCGGTGCTGCGGATGTCCGTGCTGTTTGCATGGGAGACGGTGGAAGGGCTTTGAACGTAGTATGTACATGGATAGGAGTGGAACATCAAAGCTTCTTGGTCTTCATGATGAATACAAGTTTCCATTGCCTGAATTGGAGATGATATTCTACAAGAACTGGGCATGGAAAATAGAGAAACCGCTCAAAGAAATGTATATTTATATCGTTTATTTAGAAAAATTATTAAATCAATTCGGTTCATTATGTTATCCGTGATTTCAAGAGTGGGCAAATATATAAAAATTATTTTAAAAGTGATGAATGTGATTTACTGGAACCATTGATGATGTGGTGAGTAAGATTCATGAAATAATTTCTCGTTTATCAGAGTATGGTAAGAGAATTAGTATTGGACTTATTCAACTATCTTTGTTCATAATTTTTGTAACAAGAATGTATACATACACTGTAGACATAATTATTCGAGTTCAAAATCTCTAAAAATTATTATCTTTTCTTTTATCTTTGATATTTTTTTATCACTGAGATCACTTGATATATTATTTTTAATTTATTTATTTTTCAAATGCAACCAATAAATTAACCGCATATTACATAAAATAACAAGGTTTGAAATTAGAATTTCCCATCAAATTTAATTTAATAAATATATATAGTTTAATTATTTTATCAATAATTTAATTTAATTTAATCGAGAAAAAAAATAATTAACATGAAGACTTTTACATTCTTTAAATCTTAAATTTAAAAAAAAATACTTTTTACGGTACATGAGTGTTGAAATAAACTTATTTTTAAGGACAAAACTCAATTTAGTATTAATCGTATTTATGAGTGAATTATATAAATGTTATATTTTAAATTGTTTAAATCAAGCAGCACTAGACATTTGTACTTAGATATGAACAACACTAAATTATCTAGTTACTGATTGAAATCGGATTAGTTTTCAATAATCAAACAATATTTTATAAATTTATATGGCTTAAATAAAAAAGTTTTTAAAGTTAAAAGATAAATTATTAAATGAAACAAAATTTTAAACTTTTAAATTCAGTAAATGTTAGTTTAATTGATGTGATATATATGACTTGTATTACGAGACATATATAAGATATGGGTGTTCAATAACAATCCATAAATACATTAAAATAATAATTAGAGTTTGATTTTTGGGTGTAGTAAAATAATAATTATTAATTAATAATTTAGTATTTTTAATTATTTATTAGAAAATTAATATTTTAGCAATTTATCATTTTTTTATTATCTATTAATAAATTAGTAATTTTTTGAATGAAATAATTTTTTTAAGATTATTAAAAAGTTATAAAAAAAATAACGAGTTACTCGAGTATTAAATTAAGTTGGACTTTGCTCGACTCAACTTGTTAAGATCTCGAGTCGAGTCAATCTGAGTTAAACTTTTATCGAGTTTTGACCAAATTAAATTCGAACTATTCATAAACTGCTCAACTCATTAAATTGGATGCTGCATATGTTTATTTTTATTCATAAAGCTAAGATTTAAATTTTTAACTTTATTTAAAAGATCAATTGTTTCGTCTTATTAGATCAAACTGAACCCACTAATAAAATCATGAAGTATAAATAGATTTGCTTCCACTTCACATAATGCTCCTCTCTCGATGGACCAGCAACAGCTAGCAAAAGGAACTTTTATCCTATACAATAATGTAATGCCTTTTAGGTTTTAGGATCTGAATCTCCCCACCTATTATCCCTGTTAGTTTTCCAGAAGAGAAACACTGTGAATCTGACAAACTTGATTCTCTCTCTCGGGTAGTTCTGCCTAAAAAATGGTTAATATATGGCGTGACCGGTTAAATAATTGACCGATTAAAATTTATACCGGTTATGTTATATTATTTAATCAGAAATATTATAAAGTACAATAACATACTAGGTAGCGCTTATATAATGTAATAGGTAGCGCTTATATTTACCTATTTTATAAGTAAACCGGTATATTTATACCGATAGTATTGCAAATTGTGCCATCAAGGATCGACACAATTCCCTCCGAATAGGTCGATCCCTTACTCCGATCAACGATCCAAAACCTATTTCTCCCAGCACATTCAACTGACCCTTCTCCTTAAGGTGTTTAATTAATAAATTCACCCTTTTAATGCTGCATCTTGTCGACACTTACTACATTTTTTAACAATATATAATGTTATAATTCTTATATATTTTGTATCAACGTATTTACAAGTTCAATGAATACCTTATTTTCATGTGCTTTCCTCCGTTCTTTGTATTCTTTACTATCATTCATTGACTGTGTGATGTAAGGTTCCTTTTCAGCATCACTCATTGAATTCCATTTGGACCTCACATCTTTTTTCACCTAATATTAAACATAAACGTTTCTTAATCAATACATTAACACTAAATACTAATACTACTCAATGTCAATTTCATTTTACATACCGAACCGCTCTGTGTGCCATCTCCCTTCATCCTTTTGCATTCGGCCATACTGTTAACATTTAAAATTTGCAATCAATTTAAAGTTTATCGATACTTTAATCCAATTACCATTTCAACAATAATAACAAAAGGACATTGATACTTACTAGAAGTACATATATCCACCAACAATTTTCCAACCCATTGACTCCATTTTTCCTTCATATATCAGTTTACGCAAATCAAATTATTTTGTTACATACACTTTATTCAATATACAAATATAGATAACTACTCTTGTGGTAAAACGGTTTTCTTCAAAAGAATTTGAATGGCCACACCAAAATGTGTCGGCACATTTATACAACCTATAATATCATTTTCTACCTATAATATTTAATAAAAGTATCGACATTTATATTTTTCCTTGAATATCTATTTCTACCTGCAATCGGTCCCAAATGCTTCCTTACTCCAAAACCCCAAACAACACATAAAAAACCCTATCACGATTACTGTAATAATAAAAAATTAGGGTTTCGACAACATACTTTTCGATTCGACTGCAGCAACAAACAAACAAACTTCGCTTTAGAAACGCCTTCTGAAATGCAGCAACAATTACGCTTCGATTTCAAAAACTCGTCCGTTCTATCTTTTTTCAGAGGATATTTAGCTATGGCCTTTATATTTTCATCGGATATGTTATTTATATTTAATCGATACAAATACAGAAGTGTCGATACTTTTATGTCAGGTGTCGATACTTTCGAAAGGATAATTACCTATTTCTTTGAAAGTGTCGATAATTTATTACACGTACTTACGAAAGTATCAACACTTTCAATATATCCGGTATCATTTTACCGGTTTTATCATTTTGATACCGGTTTTATCATATTTTTACCTGTTATATCGTTGTGGATTGATATATTTTTTTAAAGTATCGACACATTATAGGCGCTATAAATGCTTCTCTTTTAAATTCACAAAGTGTCGATCCTTATATAAAGTATCGACACTTTTAAATTTACTGGTTTTATCATTTTGTTACCGGTTTTATCATATTTTTACCTGGTATATCGTTTTGGATCGATACATTTTTTAAAAGTATCGACACTTTATAGGATTTAAAATTGCTTTTAAAGTTATGTAATTTATGTTTCAATTTATTTAATAGTGTTTCATGTTTTCCACTTACAATATTAATTTAATAATTTAATTTACACAAAATATTATTTGATTGTTTTGATATTTTATAAAATATTATTTAGAATTTAAATGTAACAATATTAACCAAATATAATAATAAATATGTTTTCAACAGTGAAATAAGTATAGACACTTTTATAAAAATGATATATACTTTTTTTGAAAGTTATGTAATTTATGTTTCAATTTTTTTAATAGTGTTTCATGTTTTCCACCTACAATATTAATTTAATAATTTCATTTACACAAAAAATTATTTGATTGTTTTGATATTTTATAAAATATTATTTAGATTTTAAATTTAACAATATTAACTAAAGATAATAATAAATATATTTTCACAGTGAAATAAGTATGGACACTTTTATAAAAAGGATAGATAATTTACAATATAACAGGTAAAAATATGACAAAACCAGATTCATTATGACAAAACCGGTAAAATTTACTTGATATGTTAAAAGTATGGACACTTTTATAAAAATGATAGATACTTATCGATAACCAAAGTTTACCGGTTACCAAATTTTTTAATAGTTTTTCATATTTTCTACCTAAAACATTATTAGTTGTCAACATAATAGGTACCGCTAAACCGAATTTATTAAATACATTTTAATGTATCCGGTAATACTATATATTAACCGTATATTAACCCGCATTTCCTGAGACATACCCCTTTCTCTCTAGATCAGCGACAGCAAAAGAAACTTTTATCCTATACAATAATTGTAATACCCTAATTTTGTCCAGGGACCAAACTTATAATATTACCTATTTGTAACTTGGTGGGGCTATAAAAGCCAATCAAAAACCAAAAAAATCAGAGAGAACAGTGTGGGGCTCTCTCCCCTTCACGTTTATATATATATATATATATAGAATTCAATGTTATAATTATAAAATTAAAAGTTTAAAATTAAACTGAAATCCCCAACGGTCAGAAGAAATAATAAATAAAGAATAATAACGTTCACTTTTCCCACCTACGAGATAAACAGAGTTTCTGCTTCTCCTCTTGATTGGCGTAATGGAACCAGCAAAAATCGACTGGAACAGAATAGACTCTCGCTTCATTGTGGACTACGCTTACGAACACATCAGCGCTCCTAAATGGGTTGATTTCTTGGCCCTTGATCAACAACCCATTGACGATGATGCCTGGTTCTGCACTCCCGGTACCATTCCCATTCTTTCTTCTCCTCTCAATTCACTTCATTTCTTCACCATTTTTACTTTTGTTCTCATCTCGGTATCATTATGCAGATTGTAATCATCCCAGGACTGCGCAGGATTTTCTTCAGGCCTCGTCTCTTTCCAAGGCTCCACGACGCTCTGTCACCGGCGGAGGAAGTCGAAGCTCCCCGTTTCGTGAATTGAATCAAGGGTATTAATCGGAACACGATTAGCTTTACGACATGTTTAATTTTGATGTTGTTATCTCTTACTTTCTATGTAGGGGCATGTTTTGCTATAGAGACGCTAAACTGAAGAGAAGAGGGCAAACCCAAATTCAATCAAAGATCGATGATAGTGAAAACCTGAACCCGAATTTGTCGATTCCTCCCACGAATCAGCAAGCTAAGTCTTCGAAAGCGGCGATCGAGTCGAGCAGTGAAAGAAAGAAACCGATGGTGAGGGATGACATTTCCCAGTCCCCAAGTGATGAGATGCAACGGCTGAAGAGTACTCTGTCGACTAGGAACTTGTTTGCTAGTAGGGATATACTGAGTCATATAAGCGAGTTTTGCAACGAGCTGAAGAAATTGGCGACCAGGGCAAGGGAGAGAGAAACAGATAAAAAAATGAGTGAGGAGAAGATTCAAGCCCAAGAGGCTGTGGTGGTGGAGAAAGAGAGGAAGCCATTGCTTGAATTGGGTCAAGAAAAAAGTGGTGTGATTAAAAAGTAAGTTCAATCAAATTACTTATGGCTAAAGTACTGTTCTGGGTTCTTGAATTTGATTTTGATTGTGTATAGCGTGATGAGAAAAGTTGGATTATGTTGTAGGAAAAGTTGCAGAAGCAGAGAACAGGAGGCAGATGCAGAGAACATGGCCTCTCCTCTGTCTATAGAGAATGTAAAGGACAAAGACAAAGAAGGGTTGCTCCGAATACGAACCAGTCCATCTTCTCCACAGTGCTTTTCAGCCCCAACCAGAACCACTACTACCCCTTCTAAGGCTCCCAGGTCCAGACTGATGGTATGCAACATATGCAAAATCATATGTTTCTTTTGAATTATTTGTTATATTTATGAGGCTTACAATGTATGCATCCACAGGAGAATGGGATCCTTCAAGAAGTGAAGCAAAACAAGGATATGAAAACAGACAAACCAGGAAGAGTGGTCTCTTCTACTTCTATCGTTACTAATGTTAATGTTACGGATGGAAGACAAGCAAGAGCTTTGGATGTATTTTGGTTCCTCAAGCCTTGCACACTGTCTGAATAAACTTCTCTGTTCAGCTCCATATTCAAAGGTGTTAGCTCCATAGCTCTCTTTCTCTCTGTATTAACTGTAATTCCTTGATTCCTTTGTTGTTGATAGATAAGAAGCTGTAATCGATTCGTTTAATAATTGTATTGAAAAAATTTTCTCAGTGAATAAAAGCTAACTTCGTTTAATCAATGCCTCTAGCATCTTCCCTGCTTTTGTTGGCCTTCCTGCAATTAGTAGTGTTATATCTTTCGGATTTCTTCCGCAAGTACACTTCCGATGATAATTATCGTTCTCCGCATATTGAGGTCTTCGGAATCTCATATCTTGTATCGTTACAATCACTTGACGTGATTGTGGACACCGTTTTTCGCCCGTGCGAGAAAAACCCGATACTTATTCGGGATTTTCTCTTTTGAAAAGGAATTTTCGAAATGTGAGGATTCATCATCAATCATTTAAGGTGCGATTAAGACTCTGTAAAAAACCGGGTGATTTTAATAAAAAAAATTTATTTTTATCAAAATATCGAGTTTTAAGGTCTTCGAAAATCCAGAAATCGGGTCTGCGAGTCAGTTATACGTAGAAAATGATTAGCACTCCCACAAGCACCCAAAAATTGGTACCTAGTTGGTTATCCTATATTTAAAATCGAAAATTTTTAGTTTGATCTTTATTTAATTTGAAAATCATTACGGATGCAAAGTTGAAAAGGATATTCGTTTATTGAGACCAATAACATTTGCCCCCAAGCGTAAATGCGGGAGATCAACTATTGTGCCTAATAACCAAATGTTGCATCTTTTTTAGAAAATCATGATGAAGTCTTTAAAAATGATATCGACCTTTTTCGGGAATCACCAGTAGTCACCCCCTAAGCATACTTGTGGGAGATATACCATTAATTCCCTAATAAGTAAACATTGCCTTATGTTTAAAAAAAATGCAATCAAACAAATTTTTATTTAATCCTAATTAAGCTAAGGTTAATTAAAGGTTTTTTTTTCTACCTTAAAGTGTCAGTATGAAATTAAAGCAACCTAAAAGCTCAAACTTAAAAATGTAGACTCTAATATTAATCATATTTAATTTTAATCAATTATCGAATCGAATAATCAAGATGGTCCCGAGAGCATTTACGCGAGAGTCGATTCGAATTATCCTCTAAATTAAAAGGACTATATTAAAATCTAGCTAAAAATATAAACTCTGTTTAACCTATTTAATTATGTCGATATTGAACTCTAATAGAATTTCGGGGTCTAAAAGGTCAAAGGGTTAAAACACCAAGTCCTAAAAGACTAAAAGTATAAGGACCTAAATCAACAATTTATAAAGTTGAAGACTAATATTAAAACCTAATTATTATCTAAATTATTAAACCTAAAGTATTTTTTAGAAAATATTAATTATTAATAAATTTTAAAAGGTCGAGCAATCGATTCGAGCAATCGGACATTTTATGCTAAAACTCTACTCGAATTACTCTCTAATTAAACTAGAGTGTCGTGCTAATTGCTAAGCTTGATTCAAATGTTAATTTAATCTAATAACTAAGTCTAAAGATTTAAACTATGAAATAATGAACTATTTAAACAATTTAGTTTTAAAAAATAAAAATATCAAATAAAAATATAAAAAAAAGTAAAAAAACAAAGTAAAATAAAAATAAAATAAACATAAAATAGGAGTACCTAATTGCATAAATATAAAATTACTAAACTAAATGGGAATAAATTAAACATAAAAAAGGAGCTAAATTAAAACAAATTAAAATTTGAAGTCTAAATCGAAGCAAAATAAAAATAAACGAATTAGGGACAAAATTACAAAACACGTAATTTTAGGGACTAAAAAATGAATTTACCAAAAAATAGAACATGCATAAAAAGGTTAAATAACCAAAATAGTCCCTATAGGGACTAAAATACAAAAATAAAACAAACATAGGGGGACATGGACTGTGATTTTATCAAAAATTACAAGATACAAACGCAAATGGAAAAATTATAAAAGCGGTCCCCTACAGTGACCATTTTGTAAAAATAAAGGAAAGTTTGGGGGATTTAAAACGTTATTTACCCTGAAATTTTGCTATAAATACAACTATTTTCTTTTTTTATATTTTTTCATTTTTGGTTTTTAAATTTTTTTTTAGAGAGAGGATCTCCCCTCTCTCTAGAAATCTGGCCAACGCAGGTGACTGTTCCTCCTTCGGTAATCGTCCCGTCCATCGCCCGTCGTCGCCGATAGCTGTTTGCCACCAAAATTTCAGGACTTGTTTGTCTCGTCGCGGAGGTCACGGACAGGGACTCTATTTCGCGAAAATCGGCTTTCATCGCCGTGAAAGAGGGTCGAGACTCTTCGGATACTCGACGCTTCTACCACCGCCGTCCGCCGATTGGATCAAGCTGGCTCCGAGATATGTTGCGCTCCTCCTTTGTACTCTTCTCCTCACCATCCGAGTTGGGCAAAGGAGGCCCCAATTGCCTGTGAGAGGCCCGACTAAGAGGTAATTTCCTGATCTCTTCTCCTTGTTTCGAAATTAAAAGAAAAAAATAAAATAAAATTTAATCGAACTGAAAAAATAATTTCTTGAAATGCCTCTATTATTGCTGCGAAAAGATTACAATTTTCCAGTTTCTTTTTGGAATTGCCCCCATTACATTGATCATTCGGATTCTTATAAAACCCCCAAATTACTACAAAAAATTTGAAATGAAAGGATGGTTGCTTGCGTGTGTATTGAGTTTGCTTGTTGCAGGAGTTTCAGACATGGCAGGGGATGGATTGGTGGCGTGCTAGAGTGACTCTGCTGGTAACTGGGGCAGTGAAGGGGTGGTTCGGTTTGAGCACCGGGTCAGGTCTTGTAAACGGGCTCGAGGGTTTGAGCTTGAGGCCCGTTGGTTTTTTGGGTCTGATTTGTAAGATAAAAATGTTGCTCACAGTGATCATTGTCAAATCCTATCACCGACTAGATCTACCCACCCTATCGAGCTATAAATAGTCGTCGTCATCATCATCTTATGCATATCTACAGAAGCACACCACCTACTAAGCTATAAATAGTCATGCATATCTACAGAACCACACCACTGGTGGTTCTCCACTCAAATTAGAAGGGATAAAGAGCAAGACATCATCATAATCCAATTCCATCCGAATACTAAAGAAAACTCTACTGTCAATGTTTTATGACAAGACACTGTAATTTTGTCCTCCCTCATATTGTTAGCATTTAGCAACACATACATACAGACAATTTCTCACATCATCTTTATCTATCTAATTTCTTCCTATATAAGGTAAGGATGTAGGATCAAAACCCTAAACCCCAAACTCTGCTAACAAGCCTAACATGCATACGACAAGGATCACATAGCCAAAACGTCTCCCTTACCTCTTGGCAGGCAATAGTACAGTGGCTTTAAATTCTGGGGCACCCTATTAATTCTTTAACAATATTTATATTAAAAAACATGAATGTAAAAGGCTTCTAAACCCTAATGTTTGAAGTAAGATTGATCAATAAAGTTCATACAAGCATTAATTATAACTGGGGAAAAGCCCAAATACAGATTCAGATTTCTAAACCCATTCACCAACAAATACAATAACATCAAAAACCCTGAAAATATTCAAGAAGATGAGTAAAAGAGTTCAACAAATAACGCTCACCAATCACCATACGAGTCCCTCAAAGGTATAAACATATCCAAGAAACATATATGGAACTACCGAAAGAATGTTTTCGACTTTATTCCCTTCTAGGAGAAGAGCCTTATCATATGTACATTGAAAGAGACGGCTGATGCTTGAAGTAGTAGGTTAGAACATAAGTCAATCTAACCCTAATCTAGAGCCAAGTTGCAAAGCATACAATCCAAGATCCTAGACCAGACGAGGCATGCAAGTGGGTAGAGCCTGTGGGTATACACACGCGACTCCCTTACCAGATCCTCCAAGGTCTCCACGAAGAGATTCAAGCTTCTCACGGGTGGAACGTACAGAATCAAAGGCGCTGCAGAGAAAGCGATAGTGAATAACAGCTGCAACATCACGTCGCTTATGTAATTCCAAGTGAAGCAGAACAACAACAAAAAACCCCAAACCAATTTGAAGTAACAGAGTTGCAGAATGTTCTGGAGATGGCCCAGAGTGCTGAAAGCTTTGATTTGCAGGTTTGGTTGAGAAAAATAGAGGGAAGTAGAAAGAAGGTCCTTTAAATTAATTGTTGTTGATGTGTGTAATTGGACGGAACACGGAAGAAAAGTGCGTAAAAGTAAACGAGGAAGATGGCAGGAAGATAAACAGCAACTTCTGGAAATATGAAGAAACGATTTTACTTATTTATGGGGACCTCCACATGTTTCATCAAATGGGTGTCGCTACTATATATCATTTGTTAATGCCTGCACAAGATATGCTTGGATTTATTTGTTAAATGAAAAGTCTCAGACGTTGTATGCTTTTCGATTATTTCAACATATGGCTTGGGTACAGTTTGGTACAGAAATTAAGGAGGTTCAAAGTGACAATGGAAGCGAATTTCGTCCGTTTACTAAGGATGTTTGTCTTTAAGATAAAAGGTATGCAGTCCGCAGATCTCATCTACAGCAGAATAGATAGATCAAAAGTCTGCAAGAAAAATACTGTTTATTTTTTAGACTGCTAAAATGAACTGAAATATAAATAAACTGATTTTTTAAACTTAAAATAGTTTTACAATATTGGGATTTAAATAATTTTAGTTTTACAATATTGAAATTTAAATAATCCATACAACTACAATAATAAATTATTTAAAATAAATCAATCTATATTTTAAAATAAATCACTCCATACAAATAAATTATTTAAAATAAATCAATCCATATAACTACAATAATAAATCAATCTATATTTTAAAATAAATCAATCGATACTAATAAATTATTTAAAATAAATCAATCCATATTTTAAAATAAATCAATCCATACAAATAAATTATTTATAATAAATCAATTTATATTTTTAAAATAAATCAATCGATACTAATAAATTATTTAAAATAAACCAATCCATATTTTAAAATAAATCATTTCATACTAATAAATTATTTAAAATAAATCAATCCATACAACTACAATAATAAATCAATCCATATTTTAAAATAAATCAATCCATACTAATAAATTATTTAAAATAAATCAATTCATATTTTAAAATAAATCAATCTATACTAATAAATTATTTAAAATAAATCAATCCATACAACTACAATAATAAATCAATCTATATTTTAAAATAAATCAATCCATACTAATAAATTATTTAAAATAAATCAACCTATATTTTAAAATAAATCAATCCATACTAATAAATTATTTAAAATAAATCAATCTATATTTTAAAATAAATCAATCCATACTAATAAATTATTTAAAATAAATCAATCCATATTTTAAAATAAATCAATCCATATTTTATAATAATTTATTTTAAAATAATTTATTTTATAATAAATTATTTTAAAATAAATTAGTTTATAATAAATTATTTTAAAATAAATAACCTTATTAAATTATTTAAAATTATTTTAATAAATAACCATATTTTATAATTGTTCTTGAAGAGGTTTGAAGACCTTTGAAGACATAAAACAATGTCTGCACCAAGAAGATCTCGCGCAGACGTTAGAAGAGCTTCTGTCTTCTAAAATACAAACGGTCTGCGAAACCTAATGTATGCGCGTGGTCTACGCGGCGCAGACATAAGAGGTTTAAAGAGGTTGCACAGTGAAAAGAAGCTAAGCCTAAAGCATTGCAGGAAGATAGGATTCGACATCGTCTCACGTGTCCTCACACCTCTTAACAAAACGGTGCAAACATCAACATTTAGTTGACATGGCACTTACTTGCTCAAGCTGCATTACCTTTGAAGTTCTCGTCATATGTAGTTGTCACCAGAGTTTTAAAAAATGGTATGCGACCGTAATTTCGGTCGTGATATAGCGGTTTCGTCGCCGTCCGAGTTACCCACGATGGCCGCAATAGCGTCCGTGACATCCGCAATAGCGTCCGCGACAGTCGTAATCACCGTAAATCCGAAATAACCGAAATACGACCGCGACCGTAATTTGAAACCCTGATTGTCACAACTGTGTACTTAATTAATCGATTATCAACACGAGTTCTTCACAATCTATCTCCGTTTATGAAATTATTTGGCAAAAATCCAAGTTATGAGCATCTACGAGTCTTTGGTTGTCAATGCTTTTTGTGCTTACGTCCCTTTCAATCTCACAAATTTACTTTTCGATCACAAGCATATACTTTTATTGGCTATAGTGTGCAACATGAAGGCTACTTATGTATGGGATCCAATGGTCGTATTTATATTTCATGACACGTGAAATTTAATGAATATGTGTTTCCCTTTGCTGCGAAAACCACTACATCGATTAATTTTTCTGGAAACAGTTCCTCACCTCGTGATGACATTGAGGAAGTTCCTGGAGCTGCTCCTTTAGTTCGTAATTGTGTGCCCCCATCTCAACCACAGCAACCGAGTGTTATGGAAGAGGTTAGCTCATCAAGTAACAGTGTTATGTCCTCATCACCTGCTTCTATGCCTCACACCATTCAAGTTGGTTCTCTGGAGTGTGACGCTTCTACTGAACATGGTTCTGAACAAATTCCTGCTGCTGCAAACTCTTCCCTAACAATTTCGCATAATGATGCTTCTACAAATGATGCACCGAATGATGATGAACATAACAACATGCAGCCTGGCAGCCTCTCTACTCTTCCATCTAATGTTCACTCGATGGTCGCTCGGAGCAAATCAGGCATTTTCAAGCCTAAGGTCTTTTCTATACAAGCTCTTCATGAAGATGAACCGATTACTATTCATCAGGCTTTAGGTTCTCCTACATGGAGAGTTGCTGCTCTTGAAGAATATGATGCGTTGATACGAAATGGTACGTGGCGACTAGTACCATTACCTCCAGACAAGGGTGCCATTGGGTGTAAGTGGCTGTTTCGAGTAAAGAAAAATGCGGACAGCTCAATAACTAAATACAAAGCTCGGTTAGTGGCAAAGGGCTTTGCTCAAGTCCCTGGACATGACTTTCATGATATGTTAGTCCGGTTATCAAAAAGACCACGGTTAAGGTGGTTTTGTCGTTAGCAATTATGAATGAGTAGAAGTTACGACAAGTGAATTTTAACAATGCTTTTCTCAATGGTGATCTTAGTAAGGAGGTGTTCATGGTACAACCTCTGGGATTTAAGCAAGTTTCTTCGGATGGATCAAAGTTGGTATGTAATCTTGATAAAGCTATTTACGGCCTTAAACAAGCTCCTCGAAGTTGGTATGCTAAACTTAGAGCATTTCTTGTCAACATTGGTTTTCAAGGAACACAAGCGGATGCGTCTCTATTTATTCGACGAGTGGGTGACTATTTTGTTTATATTCTTGTGTATGTTGACGATATTATCGTCACAGGCCATAACAAATATGATGTTGAACAAGTTGTTTCTCAATTGAGGAGTGAGTTTTCACTCAAGGATTTGGGGGAATTAAACTACTTCTTGAGGTTAGAACAACAACAACAACAACAACAAAACCCAATTCCCATATGTATGGGGTAAGGGGGAGGTAGGGTAGTAGGCTACCCCCAACGCCAGGTTGAGAGTAACTTCCGTGGAAGACCTCCGGCAGTCAGAAAATTAAAAATTTAGATAAAATGCAATGCATGTATAAATAAATACATAAATACATAGCTAAACAGTATTCATATGCAGTCATTAAAATCATATGTGCGTCTGTAACGGGAATTAATCCCTGCATAATTATCCCTGCGAAAGAATCTCTGCATATAGACATAAACATAAGATAAGATCCGGCTAAATTTAAAAGAGGAAACATGAAGAGAATGATACACAGAAGTAAACGTTAGCAAGCCCAGTTCTAATCCTTCATAAATACCAATAACAGAAACGTA